ATTGAAAACTGTCGGCTATTGTCATATGTGACTGGTTTGAGCACTTTCTTCAAAGAAACCCATTTTGGGTGTCAATGGAAAAGTTGTAGAGAATCAAAAATCAAGCTTATATCCAAATTTTCAGAACGGTTCAAAAACTGGTTTTCAGGAAATGCGAAATTTACGAATTTTCACAAAACTTGCATTTTAAGCGAAACTACTAAGTGTATCTTTTTGGAAATTTGGCTATAAGCCTAATTTTTGATTCTCTACAACTTTTCTATTGACACCAAAATGGGTTTCTTTTGAAGAAAGTGCTCAAACTGGGACATTGGGACATCTCCAGTCCTCCATTTTTGAGTCTCACACTTGTCTCACACACAAACCAAAATCCTACTACGAAAGAGGAATCCGCAAATTGCCTGTAAAATGGGCAGAAGTCGTCAATAATAATGGAAATTATTTGGAATGAATTGATGGTTTTATGTTGAATAAATTTTAGTTCAAAGTCTGGCAGTTTTCAATGCACCAACCCAATAGTAAGTGAAACTGGTGAATCCTGTCATCTCTTCCGATCTTTAAAAAGCTTTTAATCTATTAAAAAAAACCATTCGCTTGACCCGATCGACCACCAATTTTTATAAAAACTGACCATCTTCTTTGATGGTTGGTAATAAACACGTGTTTCTCGCTAAACAGCAGTGCGGGAAGGAGATTTGTCAATCGGGTTCAGAATCAGTGCAATCTCGAAAATAGCCTACCACAAGGTTTCCGAAACAAATAAAACCGCCTCTCCTTAAACTCAAATTGAGCATACACCATAATACATCAAAAATACGACGAATCTGTCTAAAGTTTTCTAGTAGATTTGAAGCGGCAACTTTCCCTTTGCAAAGAAAGGAATGAACGCCTTTCACTAGAGCAATTAAATATTAGAAGAAAAAGGCTGATGATGGCACGAATTTTTTGGGATATTCTAAAGACTGTATATGGAATTGCTTGAGGGATATAGCGAAGTAGAAGTACAGCCTCCACTTCCACAAAAGCCTTCGGTAATTATGGGGAGAGCAAAATGGTTTTCGCTAAGAAATGACGAGAGACTAGATCCAAAGAAAGCCTTTTCAAGGAGGAGAGCTCTCGCTAACTTTCCCCCTTCTAGTTGCACTCCTTCCTTACAATTCCCCAAGGCCGGTTTCAATTCACCTCAAGCCATGAATCCAAACATAGCTCTCAGATATTTCATAGCAATCGGATGACTTTTAAAATTGAGATTTGTGAATTGATTGAATCTCGTGTGTTTCTTTCTTTTCTAAAACGCGTAACCTTTCAAAAATCACCGTAACCTTCCATGTTTCAGAAAAAGAAAAGAAAAATGTAAGTCGGAGGTTCTGCGGGTTTCTCTCTATCTTTTGATACCAAAAACATAAAAACGACAAAAGAAAGAAACGACAAAAAAAAGATTAAATTCAGACTAGTATAGGTTTCTGAAAGCTTCTGAATGATAGGAGGTGAGTTAAGTTAAGTTAAGTTAAGCAGTTAAGCCGAGATTCATCCCGATCAACGAAGCCCAAATGACAGATCGGACACTGAACTGATTGGAGTTGAGATTTAGATATATCTAACACTAATGATCTGTTGAACAAAGAGTTTTTAATAATAGAAGCCATGAACTTGAACCAATGATCATCGAGTAGAACTTGTCGATGTTGATAGATGAAACATACACTCGTCATCATCATCAATGAGAAGATAAGCACCGAGAAAAGTGACTTAATACATATTAGACACTAAATAATAATTTGATCCAATAAAAACAACGATATCATGTGAATGGGATAGCCAGAAACTCGTCAATAGACCATAGAAACGAATGGCGAGCATCGGAGTGTAGATCTCCGCATTGCACACCTTGATGAGGAGATCGGTGGCTGTGGAAGTGATCTAAGATGGGGCATGATGAGGTGTGACTACAGTACAATGACTACTATAGTTTGTAAAATTCTCTTTCCTTGGAGGTGGGACAAATGCGACCTTTTTTTGCGCACCTGGACATTTGTGTATCTTTTTTCGCTGAAAAAGGCCTTAGGAAAGGCCGTAGAGCTGTTGTTGTTGTTGCAGTTGTTGCAAATCGATCGAATAGCTTATCATCATCGGAAAGCGAAGACGAAGAAGTAGCCGACATTGTCAAGCTGATTTCTCGAAAAGATGCATATCGTAGTTTTCAAGTGTTTCGAAGCTACGTCAAACAAAAAGCTGATAAAAGAATTGTTAATGCCGGGGTGGGACAAATGCGACCTTTTTTTTGCGCACCTGAACATTTGTGTATCTTTTTTTGCTGGAAAAGGCCTTAGGAAAGGCCGTAGAGCTTCAAAAATGTTTTCATACCAGGGAATCGTATGCGTAGATACCGAATTTCAACAAAGCAGATCTCGATGACGCTTCAAATTTAGCCTAAAAGGTAAAAACTGCGGAAAAGCGTTAAGTTGCGTACTTTTTGCCTTTTAGCTTAAATTTGACGCGTCATCGAGGTCTGATTTGTCGAAATTCGGAAACTACGCATACGATTCCCTTACATGAAATCATTTTTGAAGCTCTACGGCCTTTCCTAAGGCCTTTTTTAGCAAAAAAAGGTGCGCATTTTGCCGGGTGCGCAAAAAAGGTCGCATTTGTCCCATCCCACATCCACCCATAAGGCAAAAAATCGTTTTCTATAGGATTTTTACGTTTGAATAGCCAATTGACGCAGAAAATGTGTTGAATCCGAAAATAAAAGGATTTTTGAAATATCTTCGGCAAATTTTTAAAAAATTGAGTTTTAGTGATTTTATCGTGTTAAATTTCAGCCATACTTTATTGTCGGAGCAAAATTTTGAAGTTAAAGAGAAAGTTAAAGAGAAAATGTAAACCGCACGTTCTGCGGCTTTCTCTCTATCTTTTGATACCAAAAACATAAAAATTGATCAACCCTATAAAAAGTTATAACGTTTTGAAAATAAAAATGTGGTTTCTGGGTTATGGCACATTATAATGCAGAAAAAGAGCAAAATTAAACAAGAAAAAAAGAACCTTTATTGAGTACAAAAAAAGAAGCTCGCTAATAAGAGCACTTCAAAATTAGAAACTAAATAACTAAAGATGCTAACTAAATACAGGGTGAGCCAAAATTATCGTTACAATGCTCACTCACGCGCAAATGAGCATATCTTCAAAGTTATGTTGTTTTCTGATTTTTCTATTAATATGATTTGTTGTTGAACATTAATACAAGACAAACATGTCATAAGAATGTTTATTTTTAGAATGGTTCGAGCATCATCGCATCGAGGATCGATCATCGCGCTGCACAAACAGGGACTCTCTGCGAGTGAGATTCCAAACGTCTCAAAGTGAGGCGAATGCTTGTGCATCGAACAATCGAACGCTTCAATACTTTGGGAACGGATTCTGATCGGCCAGGGCGTGGAAGAAAGCAAACGGTAACAAATTCAGCAAATGTCAAAAAGTGAGGGATCGCTTGTTGAAAAAACCATCTCAAATCTCAAATTTATCCATGAACTCGAATATCTCGGAAAACTTTCTACTGAAACGACTAGCTTCCAATTGCTTTTCTTTGTATTCCCGCGTTTCTACCGATTCCTCAGTGTCAATAATTTCTGCCTCTTTCTCTTCTTGATGAGACAATTTGACTAAACGACAATTCAAGGACAGATCGATTTCAAGAACACTCTCGACCGGGTTTTTATCTAAATGCTTCATAAGAGTTGAGGCGTCAATTTTGTGGAAGTTCAGCTGGTAGTCCAAAGCCGGGACCCCTTCACCGAGGCGATAGTTTTGAGGGAAATCAAGCAAAATCAGAGCTTCATTGGGAGAATCTCTCCGTAGACTTGAGCATGTCAAAAATCGGAAACAGTCGCGCATTAGAGGAGTGGGACCCGGTTGAAGGGTGCTCTTAACATTGGAGTTCTCTTGGAATTGCCCATTTTCTCTAGAAACTTTATCAAGGAGAATACAAAATTGAACGTAAAGCTCCAAGTCTTGGATGTAGCTTTCCGAGAAGCATTCATAGATTTTGAAGCCCAGCTCTCTTGGGATTGACACCCGTTTTCCATCGGATGGCAAGTTGACAGGGCAAAAAAATAGGTTTTTGCATGCCAACTAGAATTAACGATAAAGTAACTTGTAGAAGAGCGAACAGAACGAATTCAAATGATCTGAAAATCTTTTTACTAGAAAGCCGAGGGTCCAAGCTTCAGGTTGATACCATATTCAGCAATCAACCATCTATACACCGGGCAGGTTGCTATTTCAGTTCAGAACCAAACTAAAACTAAGAGTAATGTCAAGTGATGTCAAACCAAACTGTGTCCAATAGGTCAGCTCATCCATAGTTGTAAGAAGACTCCGAAGAATGTCACGGAGATTTCCCTTTTCACCCAAAATATTATTTACTCGAATTATTTATTCAATATTTATTCGAAACATTATCCTGTCTTGTGAAAACGTTTATTTAAGCTTCTTCATGGAAAGTCGATTTAGGGGATAGCCCACCATGGCACATCCGACCATGCCACATCCGACCATGCCACATCCGACCATGCCACATCCGACCATGCCACATCCGACGATGCCACATCCGGTGCTTCGGGCATATAAACCTCCGAAAATTCGTGCTAAATTAGGGATGTTCGAAGATACTTGTGTAAATCTAACTCGTGAAGTGAGCTATTATTTAATGAACTTTTCTGCTCATGAGTAAAGTGCTCTGATCAACAAAGAGCTTTCACTTATTACTGAAACGTACGTAAACGAGTTTCATCCTCCTCCACAGGCCAACTTTATCTTCTTCCGTGGGCTGATCGTCAGCTTGATTTTCAATTTCGTCAAAATCAACGTCATCATCCGAAAAGCTCAGATCCGGTGGGAGCAATGCTTCATCGTCTGATGGAGACCATGCTTCATCGTCGGCATTTTTCGTGCTTTCTAAGTTTTTTCAGGTTTTCAAAGGCAAGCGCTGAATTTTTCGAACAGCGTGTTTTAGGCAACGAGTAACTTTACACTGACCTACTGTACCGTTACCGCTGTCATATCCTCTCTGGGCCCTCTGACCCATTGAAGCAATCGATCCCCATTTTTCGTATTTGAGTATCGAGTCATCAAACTAAGAAACTTTATAATACTTATTATGAAGTTGCATGATGAAAATTACACGGAAAGAATTACTTTTTTGTTGGCATAATCGGGAGCCTTTCCTGCGAAAATTTTCTTGATCTTGATCTCTCGCTCTGGATCAGCCGTGAAGCATTTCTAAAAGAAGAATATTGCTTTCTTTTTGCTTATCTCAAAAAGATTACCGAGTTTGAAGTGTAGATATGGAGAACGGCTGGTGGCTCTTCAGCTTGAAAGAGCGCTTTGAGTACGGCCTTTCCTTCCGGCTCCTTCATACCGTCGGGCAATTCAGGGTTTTTGCTTTGGCTTTGCTGAAACTTCAAAAACACGAGCTTTCCACCAGCGACTGCAAGCTTTTCATCTGCGACTGGTTTATGGAGTTCCTTGATGATCATCATGATGAGGTTTTCTAATTTTTTGGGGTATGTGGCATCCTCATTTGTTTCATTATCGGGATCGAGTTGCTTACCTAATTCCTTGTGATATTCGTTCCCTTCAAGTTGTTTGATCGAGTTGTTTCCCTCAGGCTTTTTATCGTGATCAAGAAGTTTGGCTAATTCCGTGAGAAGCTGGGCTTCGTCCCCATTCTACAATAATATATTTTTAGTTTGGAATAAAGAGAATAAGTGTCACCTTTGCCCCAAAATCGTATTCATAAAGTTCAGATTGCTTTCTTCCTGGATGGAAGGGCAACTAAAGTGGATACTGTTGACTTCAAAAATACATATGTAATACCATAAAGCTTCTATTAGTACGCTTCATTTAAAGGTTATCGAAAAAAATAGTACACTCATGCGTTCTAATAGAATTTTTACGTATTGTGCAAAGGTTTTATTTCTACTTTATAACTTATTATTACTCATTAGATAAAAAAGCTTATTCTTAAAACTAATATGAAACCGTCTTATTAGAATTACTAGGCACTGAATAATGGAATGATGAGCATAATAATCGTTCTGTTGCAATGAAACTTTACTGACACTTTTCATTTCTTTTGGATCCGGATTATGAATTATGGCGGCCATCCACTCTGCCTTTGTCCCGTCTTTCAATAGCAGAGGAGGGTCGAAGTGTTCTAACCTCAGAAGAAATGCCGGTGGGATCGTTTTTTTGATTTTTTCTTTGGCAGAGTCTTTGACTTTTGAAAGGCAACTTAAATGAAAAATCTTTCCGAATACCATGTTCATCCTTACATATTAATAACTTCGCAGACCGGATCGCTGTGCTCAGACTTCAGCTGTTTCTCGAGTCTGTTATCTATGGCGCTTTTGGTTCCTTCCGCACTGTTCATCTAAAGGTTCTTTCATAAAAATACACGCTATTGGGTTGTTATTTTAGATTTAAATATTTATAATGCGTCTAATGGTAATCGAAGTGGTAAAAAATTTACAATTGTGTTTTGCACTATAAAGTTATCGAGATGCCAATTGGTTCCGCCACACTTGTAGTCAATCAAATGACCGACATTGTAGCCTGGATCTGAAACGAAAAGTATTTAAAAAGAAGGAAATATGAGGTAGAGATATTTTTCTGTACTAAGCTTGATAGTTTGATATAAATTTGGATAATTTTGCTATGCTATGCATTTGCTTTACTTAAAATTTTCACCAAATCGATAGGTTCAATACGAAACTTGAGCCACTTGTATCCAAAACTGAAAAGTTGTGGCCTTTCGTGAATGACAACTTTCGTTCCAAAATTACCTATTTTATTCCTATTCCTAATCAAAACTGAGAGGCATATTTAGAAATTGTTAACTTTAAAAGAAGTTATGGCCATGGCGCGGCGCCCAGAGTTCAGTGCCTAATTTTTTCTGTGAAAAGTTTATTAGTATATCAAGTGGGAATGTAAATGAATTGACGAGAAAAAAAAGACGACCTCCATATTTTGTTCCCATGACTTTTTTTATCACGTCCCTGGACAGTGGGACTCTGACTTCCGTCTTCCGTTTTGCAAACATCCGTCCGACTGTGGATGCTAAATCCAAACGAAACGAGTGCAATGATCTGCTTCATTACAAAATTCTTAAACTGAAAAACTAAAAACTATTGAAAATCTACCTGAATCATTTAATTCTTTCATCGGATAAGATCCGAAAAAAATACAGAATAAAGATGTAATAATTTTGTGTAAGTAGAACCCATTATCAATCTTATCCACATTGAGCAGGGGCAGAAGCTAAAATTCTGTATTTTTGCAGCTTTAAGATTTCCATTTCACTATTCGAATTCTTTCCACATATTACTGCTTGCTTCTATTGTTGACTAAACTTCAGTTTTATTCATGACTATTTAGCGGAAACACTTTCAAATATTGATGCAATAAGATGTAATTCACTGCAATCTTGGATTACATCATGGTTCAGAGTTTGTACGGAACTATCGATCTATTGATCAATACGCATGACGCAACAAGTAACGCATATTAGTTCCCTCAATAAAAGTGTTATATAGCATAGATTTTGTTAAAAAAAAACACTTGAAATGGCGTTCTCAACATGGCTCAGAGTTTGTGCGGAACAAAGTCGTTTTTTAGTTTCAAAAACAAGGTTTTTCGCATGAAACTGAGGCTTACTTATTTATTTTTGATAATGGCGCTAAAAGACGGCATTAATTGATTTGTTATCGTATTCTTTTTACGCTGAAAAAAACACCGCTGCGACGTTTTGAATTGTGAGAATATGCGGTGTTTCATTAGACTAAGTACTCCAATGAATCGTGAAAAAATAAGTGTTTAAAAAACGTGAACAACAGATAAAGGTTTTCGAAATGTCAAATGTCTTTTTTCTTTACAGTAAAAAACGAGATTTATGTACTTCTATTCGTTTAAATATTATATTTTTATAGTGAGTCTACCAGAAGGCTATTTGCTTTCTTAGCTAGAGATGGAACATTTTAAAAGCTACTATTGACCGTTTTATAAATTAAATGTTAAATGTTAAATGTTAAATGCGTTAAAGGTTAAATGCGTCTATGTTACTCACCGCTCCTTTCGATCTTCCATATGTTAATTCTTCTTTGGGGTTTAGTTGTTGTTTATGTTGATCAAGAGGCGAAGTGACCTCCCTTTCACGTCCACCGGAGCTCATGGTGGATGAATCAATATTATATTTTTAAAGTGAGCTTACCAGAAGCAAGCAGTAATTGATTTCTTATCGCCATATTCAAAACCGGGCCAGGGGACAGTCGTTTTTTAGAGATAAGAGTGACGCTTGGGAATTGTGAAATTTGCGTGATTGCCTGAAATCGATTGATTTTCCATGAAGAAGCTTAAATGAATGTTTCACAAGACAGGATAATGATTCGATTAAATATTGAATAAATAATTCGAGTAAATAGTATTTTGGGTGAAAAGGGAAATCTCCGTGACATTCTTCGGAGTCTTCTTACAACTATGGATGATCTATTGGAGACAGTTTAGTTTGACACCACTTGACATTACTCTTAGTTTTAGTTTGGTTCTGAGCTGAAATAGCAACCCGTCTGGTGTATAGATGGTTGAATATGGCATCAATTTGAAGTTTGGACCCTCCGGCTTTCTAATAAAAAGATTTTCAGATCATTTGGATTCGTTCTGTTCGCTTTGCGACCTTTTTATACAAGTTACTTGATCGTTAATTCTAGTTGGCATGCAAAAACCTATTTTTGCCCTGTCAACTAAGAGTTATCTTGAGAAAGCAGGCAATAAGAAGGGGAGAAACTTTGCCTGAACAAATCACTTGATAAGAGCTATTTCCATATAGAGTCTCCCTTCAAAAACTAAATTCTTTTGACTCTAAGCAATTCTCTTCGTCATCGTCTGCAACATTTAATCTATTTCCCAGAAAACGTCTGACAATTCATGCTTGACGGCGAAATAATCGGCCAAGGATCCTCCAGTCTCGTAGTCGTGCGCAACGAGTCTAGGTCCGTTCTGATCGATTTTTACTTCTATCATAACCTTTTTAGGCCTTCAAAGAAAGTCATAACTGCTTTTAAATGCTTTTTGTGCGAGAAAGGAAACGTCCGAAAGAGAAAACTATACGAAAAGGAAGTGCAGGCATTACAGCGATTAAATCATCCGAATATTGTTACCTATTACGGATGCAATGAGAGTAACGGGCTACTTGCAATTGAAATAGAGTATTGTGAACGGGGAAACCTTCAGAAAAGTTAGTGTCTTTTTCCGAATATTCCTTTTTTTTCTAAATATTGAAACCCTTTAAACGTTAAGGACTAAAACAGTGATTTAACTTTAGTCATCTACGATCGAAAGTACGTCTATTCGATCAAGACGGTTCTCATTTGGGCCAAGCAGCTATTTAGTGCTCTATCATACTTGCATCAAGAGCGTAAAATTGTCCATCGAGATGTGAAACCTGCAAAGTGTGTAATTTTTAGGCTTTTACATACTATTTGAAATCAAATAAATGACAAAGCTCCATTTAGCATCTTTGTGTCAAAAGATTTTGTTCTGAAACTCGGGGATTTCGGTTGTGTTCGCCAATTGGAGGCCACATCGACGGGCACTCTTGTTGGAACACAACGTTATATGAGCCCCCGAACGGTCGACAAAGAAGAGCCATATAAAGTGAGTTAATGGCTCTTGAAAATTTATTATGTTACAGGTCTCAAAAAGAAATGATGTGTATGGTGCTGGACTCGTATTATGGGAAATGGTTGAACGAAGGTTGGCTTTGTCTTGTGTCAGAATATCGGTTATGGTTTAAGCGGAAAAGCACTCACTAGCACGTGCCTATTTAGGGTGGTTTTTGATGAATATACGCGTGATAAAAGTTTTGATGCGAACAACTTTTACATTGATATTTTCACGAAGAAGTTGACCGCTTTGGAGCCGCCGGATTGCTTTGATGAGCTGAAGGAATTAATCGGCATGTGGGAATTTATACTTGTTGAAATGGCAAAGTAAACAATGAGATATTTGAATATTTATTCTTATCTAGCTTGTCAAAACTAACAAAAAGGTGCCTATATTTTGCTTTTTTTTATTTTAGCACCACAAATTTTGATCAGAAACAACGTCCATCTGCCTCGCGTGTGCTCGCTCAACTGAAGGAGATCATTGAGGTGGGCCCGTCTTAGAAAAAGGCATTGACTTGCTTTTCTCAATCTAGGAAAACGACGACTTTCTTGAACAATACGCATTTGCGCCGGAGTTCATCGAAGGGCTAACCGAGCTGTTGAAGCCAATCTCAATTCGCGATCACGAGCTATCGAAAAAGGCGTCATTAAAAGCCTGTCGCCGCCCCTGTTTCTCGTCTTTCAGCAATCTCACACTTCCCGCGTTCTTCGATCAAGTTCTTCCAGATCAAGCAAAGATTTTCTCCCATTACTCAGTAAAACGAGATCGCATTTCTAAAGAATTGATTGCCGCCTTGACGAGTATGCCATCAATTGGGAAGTTTTATGGAAGCATCCCAAATATAGCAAATGAGCTGTTGAATGCTCGTGAATTCTTCTTCCACAAACAAAACCCATTTGCATTAGCTCAAAACAGAGGGTCGGGTGACGTGGAATCCCTTTTCCGAACTCTCTTAGCCGAGGATCTCAACAATCAGAAAAAAGCCTATCAAGAAGCATTTTCTTTGATCAAAAAGCTCAAGGGAAATAACATTTCCCCATGGACATTATATGCAGAGTTTTATGCGAATTTAAAGCTATTGGGGGAGATTCATTCATCGTTGTACACGGTCACAATCTATTTCGAATCCTATTACTCAACGAGAACTGGGTACCAGTGGCTGTTATTGAATGAAGAACTCGGAGAATTTGCGAGAAAAGGACTCGGTGAAGTCAAAGATTTTCAAGGTGAATGGTTGAAAGTGAAAGAGGAAATAAAAGTGTTTAAAGAAACTCCGTCAACAAGCACGGAAAGCTCTCAAAGCAAGGAACTGTGCCACAACGATTTCGAGCCATTTGTTATCGAGCCACTTGATATTTTGGAGTTAATCGAGATAATGAGACGACATTTAAAGAGCGTCGCCCGAATGGCCAGAGCCAAAATACAAAGCTTTATTCCAATTGAAACAGCCAATGATCTCCAATTTGACTCATACATATTCCAATTGAGAAATCCGCCACGTAAAATATGCACTTGTGAAAAAAGTTGCAAAGAACTAAGACGAATCCCTGAAGAAGTGACGATATCCGATGAAAAACGGGTGCCAATCCCAAGAGAGCTGGGCTTCAAAATCTATGAATGCTTCTCGGAAAGATACATCCAAGACTTGGAGCTTTACGTTCAATTTTGTATTCTCCTTGATAAAGTTTCTAGAGAAAATGGGCAATTCCAAGAGAACTCCAATGTTAAGAGCACCCTTCAACCGGGTCCCACTCCTCTAATGCGCGACTGTTTCCGATTTTTGACATGCTCAAGTCTACGGAGAGATTCTCCCAATGAAGCTCTGATTTTGCTTGATTTCCCTCAAAACTATCGCCTCGGTGAAGGGGTCCCGGCTTTGGACTACCAGCTGAACTTCCACAAAATTGACGCCTCAACTCTTATGAAGCATTTAGATAAAAACCCGGTCGAGAGTGTTCTTGAAATTGATCTGTTCTTGAATTATCGTTTAATCAAATTGTCTCATCAAGAAGAGAAAGAGGCAGAAATTATTGACACTGAGGAATCGGTAGAAACGCGGGAATACAAAGAAAAGCAATTGGAAGCTAGTCGTTTCAGTAGAAAGTTTTCGGAGATATTCGAGCCGATGGATAAATTAGAGATTATTCAATAATCTCAAATTTACAGATATTGACATATACAGTAGCGGACATAATTTTAGCATATTTTTTGTTTTTACCGAAACTTTGTTGCAATTTAAGCTATCAAGCCAAAATTTGCCCTGAACGTAGAAAATCTTCTAAAATTCGTATTTTACCACCTAAAAAATCCTCACATTTTGTTTATAAGATTTTTCAAGAATTTTGGTGTAAAACTGAACGACATAATTATAGGATATTTAGCGGTGAGCTGTTAATATTTTCCCAAAATTATTTTTTTTTCCTTTTTGGTTGATATTTAGTTTAACACAAAATAATTATTATTTTTAGACATGGGTAGAAACAAGGATACGTCAGCAATCAAAAGAAATGACGTTTTGAGGATGAAGGACCGGAAGTTCACGCAAAACCAAATCAGCGTGACACTTGGAATCAACCAAAGTACGGTATCGAGAATTTTAAAGAGGAAGAGGCAAGGCTCGACAGATGCTTATAAACATACTGGCCGGATCAAGAAAACCAGTGATAGAGATGATAGGCGAGTGGTTACGCTGTCAAAACAGGATCCACGAAAGACTGCAATTGATATCCACAAGGAATTGCCTCAACGAGTAAAAGAATCTATAGGTTCCAGAACGGTACAAAGACGTTTGCAAGCCGCTAACCTGTTTGGTAGACGCCCGGCTCACAAGCCCTTGATCTCACCAAAAAATCGAAAGCTTCGACTCCAATTTGCTAAGGAGCACGTTGGATGGTCTCTACAGGATTGGTCTAAATGCCTTTTCTCGGATGAAAGTAAATTTAATCTATTTGGATCTGATGGAATTGCGTATGTTAGACGCCCAAAAAACAAAAAAATGTTTCTCGCTGCTTGATTTCAACGGTAAAACACGGAGGTGGTTCTGTCATTGTATGGAGCGGCTTCTGTTCAACAGGAATGATACCATTGAAACGCATAGAAGGTATGATGAATCAACAAGTCTACTTGGACATTCTCGAATCGCATATGCTACCATTCGTACAGAAAAAGTTTAGACAAAATTTCATATATCAACAGGATAATGATTGCAAACATAAAGCGCGTCTCGTACGAGAATGGTTTCAACGAAAGAAAAACAATGTTATGGAGTCGCCAAGCCAAAGTCCAGACTTGAATCCTATTGAACATTTGTGAGAAGAACCGGAGCGAGCCTGTAGGAGCATAAAAGTGCAGAATCTAAATGAAAAATTTTCTCTTTTGGCAAAAAAGTGGATGGAGATTCCACAAAGTACCATTGATGCTTTACTCTCTTCAATGAATCGCCGTTGCCAAGCCGTCATTGACGCAAAAGGTGGACCGACAAAATATTAATGCTATTATGATAATTTATGATGGCTCTTGTTGATTTCATTGGTTTTAATTGTTTTTTATAAATAGTTGTTTAAATATCCTATAATTATGTCGTTCAGTTTTACACCAAAACTCTTGAAAAATCTTATAAACAAAATGTGAGAATTTTTTAGGTGGTAAAATACGAATTTTAGAAGATTTTCTACGTTCAGGGCATATGCACATTTGCGCGTGAGTGAGCATTGTAACGATAATTTTGGCCCACCCTGTATTTAGTTAGCATATTTAGTTATTTAGTTTCTAATTTTGAAGTGCTCTTATTAGCGAGCTTCTTTTGTGCTCAATAAAGGTTCATTTTTCTTGTTCAATTGTGCTCTTTTTCTGCGTTATAAGGTGCCATAACCCAGAAAGCACATTTTTATTTTCAAAAGGTTATAACTTTTTATAGAGTTTATCAATTTTTATGTTTTTGGTATCAAAAGATAGAGAGAAACCCGCAGAATAAAACTTGCGGTTTACATTTTTCTCTTTGACTTTTGCTTTCAAAATTTTGCTCCGACAATAAAATATGGCTGAAATTTAACACGGTAAAATCACTAAAACTCGATTTTTAAAAATTTCTCGAATTCAAGCGCATTTTTCTACGTCAATTGGCTATTCAAACGTAAAAATCCTATAGAAAACGATTTTTTTTGCCTTATTTCGCGCGGATGTGAGATGGGACAAATGCGACCTTTTGCCACTTTTGCAATGATGAGCAATGCAATGGAACTTTTGCAATGACCTTACTACTTCTGATAG